TGATTTTTTGTTTAAAAATCTCTGGCCAGCTTTGGCAATACAAAGGTAGCATTGTCATTCCAATAAAGCGCCTTGAATTGAATTTAATTGACAGAGACAGAGAGAGAGAGAGAGAGAGAGGGGTGGGGGCAAAGAGAGGAAGAGAGAGAGAGAGAGAGAGAGAGAGAGGAAAAGAGAGAGAGAGAAAAAGAGAAAGAGAGAGAGACAGAGGAAGACAGAGAGACAGAGAGAGCGAGAGAGAGAGAGGTGTAGGAAGAGAGAGAGACAGGCAGAAGGACTGACACAGACAGAGAGAGAGAGAGAGAGAGAGAATGAGGAGGTGGGGAGGGATCAGATCAGGCCAATCCGCCTAAATAACGACAGAGCGACTGAATCTCTGTCCAGAGTTGATGAAGATCCTGCATTAGACTACATTTCTTGTCTCACAGCTGTAAACGACCGTTTATCTCCAAACAGTAGCTAAACTAGGCTTATTAACGGGTAAACTGTGGCTGTGGGTGACACCTGTTAACTAAAGCAGCTGACAGACACTGTAATAAAATATCCACAGCAGATTTCAAGTTTGATAAATAGAAGCATTAAAAAAGGAAGAAGAAAAAAACTAAACACTGTACCTGTTTAGCTCGGATCAGCTAGCTCGGCTAATGCTCCCTCAGGCTGGAGTCGAGTTGTGAGAGCGGATCTCAGCAGTTTCGTGATTGGCCAACACCGATGTCTTCAGTTCATGTTAAATGAATACAGATGACCGTTTGGATGCGGTCTGTTCCTTGTGTGAGCTGGCTCAGTTCTCCTCTGTCCTTCTCCTCTAAACTGGACATCTCTGTAGTGTTCTTCCTGCCTAAGCTGCTGTTTTTGGTAGAATTCCTCTTAATATTAAGTGCTTCAGCTGATTTTAAAGTTTAGTTGTTTTGAAAGAAGAAATATAGGATCAGTATCAGTATCAGCCAGTACTCCAGATTTCAGTATTGGGATTGGCATTGGAAAAGAAAACGTGATCGTGGATTTTACATGCTAACAATCCTATATCACACCAAAGTTTGTGAAATCTGTTCTTTCTTCTCCTTATGTCACTGTTTTCAGGCTTAACCATATCTTTTCTTCTTGCAGTTACCTACACGTTTCCTACATCTACCACCAGCATTTCTCAGGTATGGAAGCAGCTTTTACTTACTTCTCTTTCTCTGGCATGTTGCTGGTTTGTTTATGCTCAGTTTTCTACATTTGTAATTGTCTAAGATGAATGTGTCTGCCTTTAATTGAAGTCAGTGTTTTAAACTTAATAGTTATTAGTATGTCTGTGTTTCTCATGACTGACTGTTGACTGACTGTAATAACCTTTGTGAAAGAACAGTTTTGTGACGTTTTCTCATGTTGACTCAAGTACAGATGTTGACTGAATACCTTTTCACAAGTAATATTTAACCAAGAGTATTTCTGCTTTTACTCAAATTACCAACACCTGTCTTACACAACAACTAAGAAGCTGTGTATTTTGTCCACCCTGCTTCTCACTGATTACCAACTCCAGAATAAGCCAGAAAAATATCTCTAAGCCATAAAAGCAGCATGTTTACTAGATTCGAGAGGCTTGAATGCTTATACAAATGCAGTTAGCCAACATAAATGTGCCTGTATCTGTTTCAGTTGTTGAAGCTAGTCTTTTAAACCTTTACCAAATGTTTTATCTTTTACAGGCATAAATCTGCTGCTTCTGGTTCTCAACTGATCAGGAATTGTCCCATTGTATACTTTAATTTATAGTATCTTTATGGTATTGCTCTTTGTAATATTGTTACATATTACGCTAAATATTTTATAACATCTTTTAACACAAGACATTGTCAATATTATGTATTTTAACATTTATTTGACTCACCTGCTTTGCTTTTTTTTTTACTTTGCAAAACTTTTATGACAACAATAGAAGATTGTGTGATATTGTAAAAGACAGTACAGTGTTGTTCACAGTAACCTGCTCTTTCTCGTGTTGTTTTGCAGATACCTTTGCTTTTCTTGTTACTTTGTAGATCTATTTTTGATACTGTTTACTGTTTGTTCAGGTTTCTTTATCCTTATGTGTTGTATGGTGAGTATTTATTACTAATTTTTCTCACTTATTTTTTCATTTTACATGCAGTCACAAGGAATCCATCTTCTCCAAACTGCAAGTGATAAAGAAATTGACCAGAGACCTCCACATCTGTCAAGAGCTGAGTATTTTTAACAGGTAGGATTCAGATGTTCATTCTCTCTCCCAAACATACTGTACATATATGCTCACTGGCTATTTTTATAGTACTCCTGACTTACAGACTGGAGTCCATCTGTTTCTTTGTATACAGTGACCCCCCCTTTCTCTTTTTACAGGGCCACCACAGAGCACGTATTATTCATGAAACACTGACGTGGTGATGGTGTGTTAGTGTGTGTTGTGCTGGTACGAGTGGATCAGACACAGCAGTGCTTCTGGAGTTTTTAAACACTGTGTCCACTCTCTCCACTCCTTATTAGACACTCCTACCTTGTCAGTCCACCTTTCCTTGGTCAGGCAGTGACAGTGAGATGATCACAGCATTGCTGCATCTGATACACTAGTACCACACTTACTATGTCAGCGTCTCTGCAGTGCTGAGAATTAACCAATAATACCTGCTCTGTGGTGGTCTTGGCAGGTCCTGATCATTGATGAATGATGTGAAAGGGGGCTAAAAAAGTATGCAGAGAAAAAGATCAGCTACAATTTGCAAATGCAGAACTACAGAGTGCACATATATATTAAATAGACCAGATTCAATAGAAAATTAAGTAAATACAAGCCAGCATTACCTAATAAAGTGGCCAGTAAGTGTACACATATAATCAAGCACAGTGATGTAATTCAGTTTGTATTTTTTCTTAACAATATTGTAGCTGTTAGCTATTCCACTCAATATGCCTGAATTATGTGTAAGTTGTATATATTTTGTTTAGGCAGTTAATTCAGTTGTTTCTAAAGGATTTCTGGTGTAATCAGTTAATTTATGCTTATCTGTGAACACAGGTGAGCTTTAAGAATTGTTCATTTTTAGTGTCTTAATATATGATAATGCGTATATTACTTTCTTAGAACAGTGGCAGATTATTGATTGATCAGTTGTTCACTTGTGTTGTACTTCTTCTCCTCTTTGCTTGAGACTAGCTGTACTTAGTACAACAAATATTCTTATTTTAGCTCAACTAAATATTTTAGTGCTGACAGATATCAGTCAGTAAAACCAGACATTTACATAAGTTGACTAAACAAGATAAAGATAGGGGAAATTGGTATGAATGTTGAATGCTGGTTTCTCGTATATTTACTACATTGGAGCTCAGTTTAACAGTAGAAGGCCTTGCGTTTATCTTTGTATAGGCATCATGCTCAAGCAAAGCATCAATCTAACTTCTACTTTGTTTTTGTTTTCTGGCTACAGAGAGGGTTGTGCAGATCCCTAGTGAACACCTGATGGACAATATGTTAGTCCTCATGCAGAACTGGTGGCAGTACACACTTTAAGTTCCAGTAAACATCCAACATCATGTGAGTGTGAGGTTTGCACCGCGTTGGACAACAGGAGGCTCAATGGTGGTAAGCCGGTCCAGAGGGCTGGCGAGCAGTGGCACCTGATCAAGGCAGAAGAGGCAGCAGCATCAGAACGCACAGGATGGGCAGCTGTTCAACTCGGCAAGGCTTGACTATACAAGTAAGTTTTTAGCTTAGACTTAAAGACTGAGGCTGTGTCTGAGTCCCAAACATTAACAGGAAGATTATTCCAAATCTGGGAGGCTTTGTATGAGAAGGCTTTCCCCCCTAACGTAACCTTATTAATTCTAGGTACTAATACTTAATAGTACTAATAGGTACTAGGTACTAATTACTTAATAGTAAGCCAGCACCTTGTGATCTAAGTAGGTGTGATGGTTCATAGTGGGAGAGAAGTTCACTCAGGTACTGAGGGGCGAGTCCGTTTAGTGCTTTGTAAGTCAGTAAAAGAATTTTAGAATCAATGCGAAATTTAACTGGTAACCAGTGTAGGGTTGATAAAACTGGGCTGATATGGTCAAACTTTCTGGTTCTAGCAAGAACTCTGGCTGCATAGTTCTGGACTAGCTGAAGCTTGTTAAGGCTTTTGTTGGGACATCCAGCCAGCAGGGCATTACAGTAATCTAGCCATGAAGTAATAAATGCATGAACTAGCTTTTCTGCATCCTGTAGAGATAATGCAGTTGTTGACTGTTAAATCTATTCTAACTAATTATAGTTCCTTATGTGCTGTACTGTATTTGTTGCAATGAAATTCTGGCAACTACAGCTGCTGGTAATTTACTGTAAATTTGAACTTTGCAATAAAATACTGTAATGTGTCATACATACTGTGTTTATCACTGATAGACTTTAATTATGTTAATAGTATATCTGTTGTTTTCAAAATAATTTACTGTATACAGATTTACAATATATGCTTTTTTCATAGTAATTAAACGTAAATAAACAACAGTTCTCAAGAGAAATTTTGGGTTGGCAAAAAAGCATACTGTAATGTCTTATACTTCTCCACTATATATGTTTATTGTGAAGATCTGGCAACCACAGATGTAGTTAAGTGTAGTAAATATAAACCAGTTTTCGCCAGATATTTAGTAAATATAAATACATTTTCCACAGATATTGAGTAAATATAAAGCAATTTTGCTCAGACACTTGGTAGACATAACAAAATTTTCCTTGTTAAATTCATTTGTATTTACTCAATATTTGTGGGCTACATTAACTCGTAATGTGGCATAATATTACTAAATACAACACATTTTAACTGTTGCTTTTATTAACATTTACTTAATTTTTTTTGCTTAAATTTAGTTCATTTATTGAATGCATTTTAACCAAAGTTTAGGTAGGTAAAATCTATTCAATTATATTACGTTTCACTTGTTGCCATAATTTTTTTAAGTAACCATTAGTCACATTTTTTACAATGTAGCTGAGGTGGAAGAGGGAAGAAAATGGAAAGAGCTAGAGCTCAGGTAAGAGAACATCAGAAATATAGGATATAAGATAAATTCTCAGTGATGGACATGGGTGGAATTTTCAGAACTCTTTTATTTGTTATTCTGTGTGTGATTACATTATAGTGTTAATAGAACCTGGGGAGAAACGTTTGTGATGAAATTATACCCATATTACGATGAGAGATCGGCATGTCCAGCTTCAGCATGGGTAAGAACACGTCCTTCATCTCTGTCAAATGATTACGGTGCAAACATTGCATATTTTTCTCTAAAAAGTCTTGGTACAATTTGCAAATATATGGCAGTGTTACTTTTGTAGCTAAAAGTTTTTTAAGTGAACATGATATGCAGATTATACATTTAATGCAGATATTTGTTGCTCTCCATTAACCCTCTTGAGACAGTGATGGCTTGTGAATAAAAGTGATGTAAGTCTTTAAAAACACTGCTGTGTTTTTTCCCAGAGGAAGGGGTCCAGGCTGTAGGACGTGTCGGATTAATAGAAAGAGTTCAGGAGCTGTTATTTCAGAATAATGGAGATCTTTTCACTCTACTCACAAATCTGGATGGGTAGGTTGAAACACAACTGAGAAGATACAAGAATCAAATAACAGAGATGAAGACAACTATTCATACACTAAAGAGACAAATCCAAAGTCATTCAGAAGGTAATAGTTCCATATCTTCTACAATACAAATATTTTATGAAGTAACAGTTCCAAATGTTCTATTTGTGAATCCTGGCACATTTTGACAGCTGCATCTGTTTTGCATTTGCTATATTTCATCTCATTTTCATGTCTTACATTTAGATGCTCTTAGGATTGTGCTGCTGGTTAAAACAGGAGTAGGGAAGAGTGTATCAGGAAACAGCATCTTAGGAAGAGAAGTTACATTCAGAGAGGAGGTGTCCCATATGTCAGTTACCACACTGTGTCAGAAAGAAACAGCTGATGTTAATGGAAGGCAGATCACTGTGATTGACACTCCAGGACTGTTTGATACTGAAGCTGATAATAAAGAAGTCAGAAAGGAGATCACAAAATGCATCTCCATGGCAGCTCCAGGTCCACATGTGTTTCTGCTGGTGCAGAAAGTGGGACAGAAATTTTCAGAGGAAGAAAAGGGAGCAGTGAAAATAATCCAGGACATATATAGAATCAGTGACCTACACTATTTTGTTGTTTACTGGAGGAGACAGTTTTAGAAAGAAATCCATTGAAGATTATCTTGGAGAACCTGGATCTGATATTATGAGCCTGGTTGAAAAGACATGAAGATCAAATAAATAAAAAAGTGAGGAGAGAATGGGATGAGAGATGCAGAAAAGAAAGAGAAGAATATGAGTCTAAGACAGAAGAGCTGAAGAGAAAAGTGCAGAATGATGAAAGGAGGAGAGCAGAGGAAGAGAAAAAGCGAAGTGATCTAGAGGAGAGAATGAAGCTTTCAGAAGAGAAACACATGAAGGAGCTTGAAGAATTAAAGCATCTACAAAAGGAGCTGCAGATCAGAGTCCAAGAGGAAGAACAAACTAAAGAAAAGCTCATAGAAAAACATCAGGAGGAAATAGAGAGAATGAGGAAGAGCTCTGAGGAGGAAATAGACTGAAACAGGAGATGGAGAGAAAAAGGACTGAAAAGAAATTGAAAGAGAGAGAGCGACTGAAGAAAAAGAAGGAGGAAATGGAGAGAAGAATCAGTACATCTGAGACAAAAATAGCACAGTTAAGAGCAGGTAACGTTTCCTTTTATTCTGTTATCACCTGTCAATTGGAGATTTGCTGAAATGACTGCATATTTATAGCTTATATTGTTACATGGTACATCCAACATCAGTGAAATAATCATGAAGTAATAAACAGTCAACAACTTCTCAGTCACCCTCCAGATCCTGATGTACTGCTGTGCTCAATAAAAGGCAGCTAAAGGGGAGGTAGTTGCACCCCAATTTTAGCATAATTAAATCATATGTGGTTTCTGACACTGACATTATGACATTATTGTTAACCTAAAATGGACAAAAGTACATCATATAGTTGAAAACAGTAGTAACAGCCATCTTGAAACTTGAATTGTGTCTTTTGTCTATGTTTATGTATAACGTCATGTCCTACAGTGTCAGAAACTACATAGAAATGTCTATTGGAGATTATTTAATAACTCGACATCGGCTTGAGGTGAGTGTGTGATGATTTAGATATCCACTCTGCAGAGTGCTAATTGTTGGGTTATAATCCCCCATGACTCGTTAGCTACTTTAGCCTCATAAAACTAAAGAAGCAAAGTTCACTCACAAAAAGCATGTCTTGCCTGATCAACTACATTTGAGTTTAGGGGGTAAAAATGTGTAAATTTGATTTTTGGTGTAATCCTTGATTTAAGGGATTAGTAGCTGTTGTTGATGAACAATCTGATGTGAAAATGGACTGTGATATTCAAAGGTGCACTACAGCATTGTTAAGCTAGATTTTGTGGTTGTAATTTTTGCAGTCATACACAATTTCAAACCTACAGTGCTGTGATATCACCTGATAAAGGTACCACTCATAGAAGAGATAAAATCAAGGCATTTACTATATCAAAGATATTTTATTAATGTTCTTTAAAAATATATTAGATTCATGAAGAAAATGAGCATCACGGGGGCAGTGCCATTGTTCATTCTAAAATATATAATATATAGTATGATAACATAATATTTTAAATTAACTTAGGTGTACTTGTAATGATTTTTTTTCATAACTTTGCTTTTTTTTTTCTTTGTAAAATCTTCCACAGGTAGTGGAGATCTAAGAATTGTGCTTCTGGGGAAGACTGGAGCAGGGAAGAGCGCTTCAGGAAACACCATCCTGGGGAAAAAAGCTTTCAGACAGTTACTGTCCTCTCGATCAGTTACCAGTGTGTGTCAGAAAGAATCAGCTGAAGTCAGAGGAAGACAGATTTCTGTGATTGACACCCCAGGATTGTTTGACACAAGTATTTCTAATGAAGAGATTAGGAAGGAAATTGTTAAATGCATCACCATGGCAGCTCCATGTCCACACGTCTGTCTACTGATTATTTTACTGGGACGCTTCACAAAAGAGGAACAAGAAGCAGTGAAAATAATTCAAGAACTGTTTGGTGAAGAATCCAGAAAATACACCATAGTGCTGTTCACCAGAGGAGATGATCTGTGGAAAATGAGCATTGAAGAATTCATTAAAGATTCTGACTGCAGCTTACAAAATATCATTCACCAGTGTGGTGACAGACACCATGTGTTCAATAACAGAAATCATGGAGACCACACCCAAGTTACTGATCTACTGGATAAGATCAACTCCTTGGTTGCAGTGAATGGAGGGAGCTTCTACACTAATGAGATGTTCCAGCAGGTAGAGAATTGGGCTGTGAGTGAATCTGTGTTTTTATACTGATACTATATACTGATTTATACTGGCCTAAATGATTCAGCAGTAAATTGAGAACAGCCTGAAATAAGCTCATTATCAGGTATAAATGTGAATTTAATTCTAGAACATGTTGGGTCAGATTCATAAAACGCAGTGCCAGATTTACTCTGACGTTAAGAGTAAACAGCTTCACTGTAACACATTTATTGATTCATAAATGAGGATCACTGGCTTGTACATTTACTTTATTAAAATTTTCCAGTAGTGATTTATTACACAACACAATTGTGCAGAAATAACACCTGAAACACTATTGCAGTACTTTTTCGGTCATAAGCCAATCTGCATTAAAATAAATAGTTTTTAATGTTTCCAAACAGGTTTGTTCACACATGCAAGTAATCAACAAATTCTGCATGTTCCCTCACTCAGCTGATTAACCAGAATATTAAAATACGCGTTTTGATCTGGGTTGAACTGCTGTTGTAGTGCATGAGCAGGAGTTCAGACTGCTATAAACTTTTATCATAAGAAATACAAATGTAGGTGTTACAAAGGAAAACATGATCAGATTCTTGTTAATAATGAACTGAAAAACAGCTTTTCTTTTTCTTCTTACTGCGCTAAATTCCATGTTTCCTGAATCCCCCTACTGTGCGTGGTAACCAGGTTTAGCTTGGAATCCAAATCAGTGAAGAGTAATTTGACGTTCAGATTCAAACTAATTGATTTTATTCAATTTGCACATGTGAAAATGACAATTATACTAATGAAAATGCATTTTTACAAGTAAAAACTGAATTTACTAAAACCTCATTTACTTTTAAAAATTTAGTATTTTAAAATTCTTATCAAAAAAGAAATAAAAACAAAAATTTAGACTTTCAGCACATCATTTAAAAATTGAATTTGCATAATTTTTCTAGTTTCAACAACATTTTCTAATAAAGAAACTTTAAGTCTTCATTAAAGTTTAATGGCTTGTGCTGGGACTCCCAGTAACGTCCAGATGCTTTTTCTTTCACATTTGTTTTTGGCAGTTGAGTCGGCAGCACTTTCTGTTACAGTTGCTGCTGCATTAACATGTTCCACAATTGTCTCTTATAATTTGTTATTTACCATTGTTTAATTTTTGCTACTTCTTTACTAAAAAATACTGTTATTATCCAGCACTACTGTCCTAGAAATTCACAATGAGGGTTTCTGAGAATTTTGTTTTTCTTTGCATCGTATTTGTTTGTTTTAACATGTCCATTTTGACAGCTAAACACAGCTTCATTTGGTGGGTCTTTAATATGTATGTCCTCATTTACATGTGGATTTTAATTGGCTCTTGCCCAAACACAGGTGAAAATACCATAAACACCAAGCCAGATTCACAAAACTCACTAACGGCCTCATGAAATGTGCATCATGGTTAATAAGAGCTATAAGATGTGATACTTTTATTACAGATAATTACATTGACATGACATTCAGATTGTTGTTCAGGGGACAGAAAAGGTAAGACTGAATCCCAGCTGCATGTTTGTGCATCAGAATGTTGGAGACATCACTGCTTGGGAGAAAAACATGGAAGAAAGGAGACGTTTGCAGGAAAAACTGGATGAAATGACCAAGTTCACTGCAAAAGCTGAAATATACCATGCCAAATTTTTCAATGATGTTATTGCCTTTGACCTACAGATGATGTGAGATACTTTGCTCAGCTCTGGGAGGGCAGCTCACCAATGGCTCCACCAAACCCATCATACAGTGAAAATGTTCAGGAGCTAAAAAGACACATTCTTTCTTGTGCATCAAAGACAAATGGCTTCAAATTATTGCAATTTGAACAGCGAGTGAAGGACCTGTGGAATGCACTGCTGAACAAATATTTTATTTTCAGTTTCAGGGACACAGTAGAAATATCAGTGTACAGGAAACTGGAGGAGGAGTATAAGAAATGGACCTGGAGTCTCAGGAGTGCCATGCTGAGCATTGAAGACAAAATGCTTAACAGAATAGTCAGTGGAAAAGTGCAAACAGTTGACAGGTGTTGTTTATTAAATAGCAATGATGTGAAGATGAAGAAGTCTCCGCTGACACCGTCATGCTTGTATAAGATGTTTATTACAAAGTGAAACAGTATCATATCAAGCACTATAAAGTACCTGAGAGAGGATCCGTGCCAATTCTAAAGTGTTCCCCTCCATGACAATATATGCAGCTGCTTATATAGAGTGCTTGTTGTAGAAAAAGGGAACAGAACATATGGTCCTTTTTAAAATGCTCTCATCTATCAGGAACTAAGAGAAGAAGGAAGAGAGAGAGAGGGGCCCATTCCCTATGGATGCTTTGGACCAGGGGCCCCCTAACTTAAACATTCCAAACCTGCAAAAACAGAACACATGGAACTCCTAGATACTACAACATCAACTTATACTGAAAGTTAAGAGTGTTTTTGCCTTCTTCTGCAAAGCTATTATTTTAAAGATACTACATATCCCCCCTTTGAGACTACGCAGAGTCTCAAAAAAACTAAAAAGTAACACATTCATGTGCAGTTGTAACAAAATAACAGTTCCTCCTACACATGCTTCCTACAGCGTAACCTTAGCAATACAACAACTTTCTGGAGTGCGAGAGCGAAAATACCTGTCAGGCAGCTGTCATTCCTGAAATATCCATCAAACAATCTAGACAGGAAAAATTCTCTCATGGTCCCTCTGCCTTAGGCAACCACATAGAGTACTCCAGACCACTTTAAAAAGGAGGAATTTTGACAAATCGTGTAGGGATATGACTTAAGCAAATACATATGGAAACCTCAGAAAATAAAATCAAAACAATGTCCACATTCAGGCTGGTCGACCCATCGGACCTTCCAATGGACCTTTCCCTGCCTAACACCAATATTCCTAAGCACCGAAAGAAGAAAAAAACATCTGAGGTCCCAATGTACTTACCCCATAACAGAAAACATCAGTCTTCAATCAATTAAAACAAAGAAAGTGTTATAAATTTAAGTACTACTCATGCAATAAACAACTCAAACACTCAATCCAACTATTATGTCTTACTAAGATTATCACTACCTTATAAATGTTCTCTATCAATATCACAAACTACAATATAATAGAACAAAATCCAATACTATGCAAAAATAGATATATATGAGGAGACCACCATATATGTATATATAATATATATGGTGGTCTTCCCCCAACATCGTTCTTGAAAGAAAGAAAAAAAAGCCACCAACCAATATCTTTTGGAAAAACAACAAATGCAAATTCAAACATCAAATACAGATTAACACCTTATACGTAAATGTGAAATTCACAGTATCATACTTTCACATTATTGCAAATTATAAACCACATTTTTCCATTTCCCCCTGCAATCATCCCACTCTATAGTCAGAGACTACTAAATACCTAAATAGTAACAGAAATAAATGTTAAGACTATAATAAGAGTAGATATTCAAAATGGATATTTCTCCATCAGTTCACCTTCTATCACCACTTCCTCGTCATCGTCTGTGTCAGTCCTATGTAGTAATGGCATCTGAACTTGATCTCCAGGCATCACAACTCCAACCCATCTCAATATTATAGCCTTCGCAAAGGTCAACAACAACGTGCAGAAACAGAACATCACACTCAATGATATAAGAACTGCTACCATAATCTGAACCAACACTGCTCTCAACGGTCCTAATTTCTCCTGCAACCAAGCATTCGCAGATCATCCAGCTCCTTCCGATGGGCCAAACGCCTCCCTTATATGCTTCAATGCATCTATGACACTAGTCATATTGTCAGAACTATCAGTAATCAAAGTATAACAGGCATCCCCCGTTAAGTTTAAAACCACACATAGGCCCCCTTGTTTGGCCAAAAGATATTCAAGAGCCATGTCATGTTTCAGCAACGTCAGTCTGTGACTCTTTTGAGTATTTGACAAGTATTCAAAACCTCTTATAGTCTTATTTGCAAAACCCTGTAGGGTGTAGGTAATATTATCAATGTGATCTGCCAAAAATGTCACACCATACCATGGAAATAATCCTATACCCCACTTCTCTCCTAGACTTATCCTCTAATGATAGGACTCCAGATTATGAAATTGTGCCAGTTCCCTTTTCTTCCTACTTCCAGAAACAGCATCAGATTGAACCTCATCAGATACTTTTCCCTTCTGGACAGTAAAAACCTCATATGGAAGCTTCAACGTTGCCATATAACAGCATCCTATCCACCCGTATGGTAGAAATATATATGCCTTATCACCACAAACCCCCTAGATTTCACTTCCAACGGATCAGGGATCGCTGTTATCATATTTTCATGCTGATCAAGTAAATTCACATATGATAACTCCCTCAACCAAGAACAATTATATCTAGGTCTAAACAGATGCACTGACAGAGCCATTACCTTATCTTCTGCTGATTGCTGCTGATATAACAGGCATGATAATGCCTAAGATTGACATTTAGCACTTAATGGTTCTGGTACCTTCTCTAAAATTGAAGGCCATGTGCCTGGTGTTGGAACTTTCACCACACATAGACAATTCAGTTTCCTAACCGATCTTACATAATGAGTTAACTGCCGGGACCATAAGTTCCTACCTGCCCATGGGTCTGCGATTTGTAACACCGAGGAATCAAATCCATATGCCTTCCACTTAGTTTCTCTCTTCTGTAATACATGATAATGTATGTCAGTCACGTCTTCTGGTGTCCAGTCAAAGTCAAAAAACTCATTTTCCATGTCTAAAATAGTCCTCTGAGCTCTCACAGATGAATCTGCATCATTCTCTTCCACCATCTGTTCTCTAAGTTCAAAAATCTCATTATTACTATTCACACTAAGCTCTGTTTTTAACATAGGTTTCTAGGTAATATTTACTACTTCTTTAAAGTTCAAAGATGTCATATCAGGTGTCTGTGTCACATTTACAAATTTTATAGGTGACAAAAATGTCGTCACAGTTTTATTGGCAAAGGTTGCCCTTAGCCCAACCTCACTTGTAACACTTCCAGAAGTGACAAAGGTAGAAATTGTCACCATCCCTGTAGTAGCATTCATCCCCTTCAAAGTCGTAGCTAAAGTAATAGCCTGAATTGATGTATTATCGCTCTTAGTTGTTTCCGGAGCTAAAATAGTAAGCTTCATCGATGCAATATTCACCCTTGGAGTGGTTGCTGTGGTGAATCGTTCCTGAACCCTTTTAGCAACCATGAAAACTCCAATAGAACTCAAATCTTCTATCATAACTACTACCTTACGAGTTATATAACCCTCTCTCCACACATTTTGAAATGGAACAAATTTAAACTCTGGCTCAAAATAGGTACATGTGTATTCCCCTTGGTCTTCCCATGTAACATTATGCACAACAAGTGAGCAATCACCCCTAACTTTCAACCACCACTTGTCATTAAACAAAAGATACTTCCTCTGATCATGAGGCACCACTTCCTTCTAAACAGCTTCACGAACACCTTGTCTCCAGGTTGTACTGTGCTCCTCTTTTGCTCCTCTTTTGCTCCTCAAGCCTCTCCTGCACTTCCTCTTTACTTTGCCTTCAGAAACTTACATACTCCTTTGTAATCTTTCTCCTAATTTCCCCCCTTGCAACATGAGCTAACCCATGTGCCTCCTGAATCATCAGACCTCAATCCGTGTCAGCACTGACCAGCTGCTTCCTCTCTCTCTCTCTCTCTCTCTCTCTCTCTCTCTCTCTTTCTCTCTCTCTTTCTCTACATACACATTT